TTTCTTTTCACAAATTCTCCTTTTTTTTGCATGCCTTTTTGGCTACTGAATGGAGACCAAATATTGGGTGATACGATAATTTAATTTATTTTATAACCTCTCAATAATTATCTTTAGCATATGGGCCACGAGATACCCCTGGTACCTTTTTCATAGGCTTTTTTGAGTTTGGGCAAGGACACAGGGGCCCCATGATACCCTATTGACGGGGGCCCCATGAGTGGTCAGTCCGCCCCCTGGGCTGGACTGAGTATTTAAAAAAAAAAAAAACTGATCTACTGGGATCTTCATGCACAACCATCTCTAGGGTTTACAGAGAATGGTCCAAAAAAGAGAAAATATCCAGTGAGCAGCAGTTGTGTGGATGAAAATGCCTTGTTGATGTCAGAGGTCCGATGAGAATGGGCAGACTAGTTGCTGCGATAATTAGATGGTAGGGTCAGAATTTAAACAACATGAAAGCATAGGTCCATCAATGGTTCAGGGTGGTGTTCAGGGTGGTGGTGTAATGGTGTGGGGGATATTTTCTTGGCACTAGCAAGGGTGTACCTAATAAAGTAAATGGTGCATGTAAAGGTATTTGCTTTATTGTGCTCCTAATTATTACTTTTTTTTTTTTTCATGTATCCTTGGATCGAAGCTTTTCCAAACCTTTGAGTGAGAAGTGTTCTCTGAGCACAGCAGAGTTCTAAATCTTCAGAACTACATGTCCTATGATTCCTTGTGCCCTGCCCTGAATGGTGCATGTGTTGGCAGAACACAGCACCAGAGTGCTACTGGCCCATAGTGTGTGCCCCCACCACCTCCCAAGCAGCAGTTACGGTAGGTTTGGTCCTGGTTGAAATAACGTGCGTCCAGAGGCGGACTGACCATTTGGAAACTCGGGCACTGCCCAAGGGCCCGAGGTCAGTAGGGGGCCCCATGAGATGCCCCTGGTACCTTTTTCATAGGCTTTTTTGAGTTTGGGCGAGGACACAGGGGCCCCATGATCCCCTATTGCCGGGGGCCCCATGAGTTGTTAGTCCGCCCCTACGTACGTCATGTTGACTCCAGGGAGCCTCTGTAAAACAAAGGAGTTACCCTATAGGGGGACACTCCAAACAGCAAAATTGCAAAAAGTTGATTATTCAGTAACAAATGCAAAAAAAGAGGGACAGGAAATAATTGTCATATAAAGTATGCTGCTAAATGTTTTTTTTTTTTTTTAATGGAAGGTTTAAAGTATATGTAAATCCTCATCTTGAAAAACAACCCATCCAGTTTAAAGCAAAAATGAAAGGCAAAACATTTGTGTATAGATATAAAAACATTATTTAAAAAAAAAGGGGGGGGGGGGGGAGGGAATTTATAAGTAACCACAAAACCCCCTATTCTCAGCTGCATAGAGAGGTGAAGGTGGAGAATTAGCAATACCCTGATTTTCCCAGTGAATGGCTGTGCTGGGACAAGTCTAATCATTGGAGGAAAGCAGGCTGAGTTCTCAGCACAGCGAGGAAAATGACCATGCTGTGCTCTCATGTCTAGTATGGTCAGTTTTTATTAGGAAAGCAGACAGATTGGAAGGATCACCAGGGATTTCCCATAAAGATACTTTTTCATTCAAGTACATGGTATTTATTTTATTTCAGGTACTTATATAGCGCTGTCAATTTACACAGCACTTTACATATATATTGTACATTTACATCAGTCCCTAACCCTCAAGGGGCGTACAATCTAAGGTCCCTAACTTACATTCATTCATACACACATAGACAATTTAGGGATCCAATTAACCTACCAGCATGTCTTTGGAGTGTAGGAGGAAACCAGAGCAAACCCAAACAAGCACAGGGAGAACATGCAATCTCCATGCAGGAGGCGCCATGGTCGGGAATCAAACCCATGACCCATTTACTGCAAGGGCAGACGTGCTAACCACTAAGCCACTGTGCCGCCCATGGTATCAGTCATATTTCAGAATATGAAATGTTGGGTTTACATGTCCTTTAAAGTTGAACTTTAGTCATGTAAAAAATTAAAAACAATGTCTATACTGTGTAAAATGGAGTAACACACTGTCATCCTGCTCTGCACGTGCTCAGTTGCTCTCTTATTTTTAGGCACTGCAGAATAGAGACTACTCTGCTGACAAGCCTTAAAGCAGAATAAAACCATACCTCCCAACTTGCTGAGATGGGAATGAGGGACACCTATTACCAAACCTATGTTGGCCTTGGACACACCCCCTGCCATGCCCCCTTTAAAAAAGAATTCTACAAAAAAAATGATTGGTTAAACCCACAAGTGCTTGTTTACCACCACCAGTCCTTTATATTGGCTTTTGGAATTTACAAATACAGCATTTTAGAAACTGGATGAAAAGTTTAGCACTGGGAAACACTTTTTGATCGATCAGTAATACATTTTATATACAACTATATAGATCAGACCAAAATGAGGGACAAATGAGGAGGAACCGAGGGACTTTGCTCCAAAACAGGGACAGTCCCTTCAAAATCAGAGACAGGTGGGAGCTGTGATTAAACCCTCCTATCCGTTACAGCCACGTAAGCTGCTTCTGTTTGATCTGCAACTTCCATGGTGCTGCATATGCAATCAGTTATAACACCAGCCATTTGATGGTTTGGTTGGGGACACAAGCAAAAGTGACAGTTAGCAATATATTTATTTATTTCAGGTACTTATATAGCGCCGTCAATTTACGCAGTGCTTTACATATATATTGTACATTCACATCAGTCCCTAACCCTCAAGGGGCGTACAATCTAAGGCCCCTAACTTACATTCATACATACACATACTAGGGCCAATTTAGACAGGATCCAATTAGCCTACCAGCATGTCTTTGGAGTGTGGGAGGAAACCGGAGGACCTGGAGGAAACCCACGCAGGCACAGGGAGAAAATGCAAACTCCAGACCAGGGGCGGACTGATAACTCATGGGGCCCCCGGGCAATATGGGATCATGGGGCCCCTGTGTCCTTGCCCAAACTCAAAAAAGCTTATGAAAAAGGTACCAGGGGCATCTCATGGGGCCCCCTACTGACCCTGGGCCCTCGGGCACTGCCTGAGTTTCCAAATGGTCAGTCCGCCCCTGCTCCAGACAGGTGGTGCCGTGGCTGGGATTAGAACCAATGACCCTGGTACAATCCCGGCATTCCATGTAACTGTTCTTTTTTTTTTTAAACTGTTAAATTAATGGATTTAGCTCCGCTGTATGATTTACTGCTGCTCAGGGTCTCTGGACTTCAGCAAAATGGAAGCCTCCAGCAAGAAGAAACAGGAGCAATGATGGAGGCAACTTACAGAACACGCTAATTGTGGTAGCATAATTATTAATGTGGAACAAATGTTTCTTGCTAAAGAAATACATTTTTTTATCAAGTTGTTAAGGGTAAAGTTCTGCTTTAATACCAATTCAACAATGATTGATGTGGGAGGGGCCAACTCTCAATGCTATCAGTAAGGTGTGAATTTTTTTTTTTTCATTCTTAGATTGTAAGCTCCAATGAGCAGGGCCCTCTGGTCTCCCCTGTATTAATTTGCATTGTAATTGTACTGTCTGCCCTTGTGCTGCATAAACTGTTGGCTCTATACAAATCCTGTATAATAATAATAATGTAATAATAATATCATGGAACTTTTTTTGAGCATCCTACAGGGGCGGACTGACAACTCATGGGGCCCCCGGGCAATAGGGGTGGGGCCCCTGTGTCCTTGCCCAAACTCAAAAATGCCTATGAAAAAGGTACCAGGGGCATCTCATGGGGCCCCCTACTGACCCCGGGCCCTCGGGCAGTCTCCAAATGGTCAGTCCGCCCCTGGCATCCTGGCATTTCAAGAACTCTGGGTGCTTGAGAAGACATCTAAAGGTATGAGCATGGTAGTGTTGCAGTCTGTTTAGTATTTGTTATGTTCAGTCTCTGGGGCTGAGATCTTCATCCTGTGGTCACCACCGAGTGGTTCATATACCTGGGACAAGTAGGCAGGATTGGAAATCAACATTTCCCATCAATGGCTGCATGCTGAGCTTAAAGAAGAAGGGAAGGTTACTAACTAATGACAGTAATGTCAAAAACTGTTCATAATAATTAGCAAACCGTAAATACATTTTTTTTAGTCACATGATTTGGGTTCTGAGCAACTTGGTAAGAGTTGATGACGGTAAGGAAGTCCTAGAGTAGTGATGTCATCCTACTGCTGCCCAGGCTCTGCTTGTTGTCGGAAAGAGATGCCATCTACCACCAGCTGCAGGAGCTGCCCAGGACCCTGAGCTGTTCAATTCACTAACCACCATGCAAGATATGATTAAAAAAAGAAAAAAAAATGTATTACATCATTTATTCACATTTTGTAATAGCAAATCCATTTTGCTAAAGCTCAAAATAGAACTCAATTTTCTATGTAAAGTTAAGAATAATTAGCTAAATCCATCAGAGCTGATGAGGAGGGCATTGCCCTTGAAACGCGTAAACTACGCCCGTGTGGATATGCATTGTTTTTGCATTGGGATTGGATTGAATTTATACTCAAAACTTTTTTTCACTTTTGAGCGTACATTGCATTTCAAGTTCCTTTACAATAAAGTGATCTTAAGATAATGCACTAGGCTGGTGTGCCCTCTCTTTTTGTCTTTGTATCAGAAATAAAAACTGGATAGAGGATTGAACCCCTCCCTTTGTTCACAATTAAAAAATAAACGTACTGGCTTCTGTTGCACTTTAATGCTACTTCTGCAACATTCCCCTAAAGTTTTCCCCAGGGGCGGACTGACAACTCATGGGGCCCCTGGGCAATAGGGGGATCATGGGGCCCCTGTGTCCTTGCCCACACTCACAAAAGCCTATGAAAGGTACCAGGGGCATCTCATGGGGCCCCCTACTGACCTCGGGCCCTCAGGCAGTGCCCGAGTGCCCAAATGGTCAGTCCGCCTCTGGTTTTCCCTGTAGATCAGTGGTCTCCAAACTGCAGCCCTTTGCTTGCTTTCATCTGGCTCTTGGGCCATTATTTCCCTCACTGTTCGCAATGGTGGAGTATCGTTCCTGCCCCTGACACCTACAATGGGACACTATTCCTTCCACTGACACCAATTATGGAGCACTATTCCTTCCAGTGACACCAACGCTGGGGCGCTATTCCTTCCACTGACACCAACGATGGGGCACTATTCCTTCCACTGACACCAATGATGGAGTACTATTCCTTCCACTGACACCAAAGCTGGGACGCTATTCCTTCCACTGACACCAATGAAGGGGACAATTTTTACTCCCACTGACACCAATGATGGGGCACTATTCCTTCCACTGACACCAACGAAGGGGACACTGTTTACTCCCACTGACACTAACAATGGGGCACCATTTCTTCCATTGACACCAACAAAGGGGACACTGTTTACTCCCACTGACACCAACGATGGGGCACTATTCCTTCCACTGACACCAACGATGGGGCACTATTCCATTGACACCAACGATGGAGCACTACTTTCACTGACACCAATGATGGGGCACTATTCCTCCCACTGACACCAGTGATGGGGCACTACTCCTTCCACTGACACCAACGATGGGGCACTACTTCCACTGACACCAACGATGGGGCACTATTCCTTTCACTGACACCAACGAAGGGGACACTGTTTACTCCCACTGACACCAAGACATTTTCTACTCCAGCTGGCCACATTCTGGCCCTCCTAAAGTTTGAAAGACAGTAAACTGGCCCTTTGTTTAGAAAGTTTGGAGACCCCCTGCTATAAATGGTCAAAGCTGAGCTCCAGCCTCACCTTCAGTCTTGCTCAGTTGTACAGACTCCTCTCCTGTACTGAAAATGCTTACTCTGATTGCACACTGTGAGCTTATGACAGTGTGCATTAGGAACTGCAGAAAGTCAGATCGTTGCTCTTATTTCCTAGCTAAATGTCCAGCATCATCTAGCTTTTTGTGTTTAGCGTGATTGTCTGTGGTCGTCGCCTTTCATTCAGATTTCACTTCTTTTAACCGCATGCCGCCCAGCCACTGTAGAAATACGGCGGCACTGGCAGGCAAAACCATGTTTTAAAACGTGTGTTTTGTAAACAAATAGGGGGCGCGTGCGAGGTGCGCCGCCGCCCTATCTGTCCCGCTGATCACCGCCGCGGATGTCAGTCGCCGGGTCACAGCCAGTCCTTAGCGGCTGTTTCCCGGCGAACGGCGGTAAACAGTGACAGACAGCACAGCTGCAGTAGCTGTGCTGTCTGTCACTTCCTTGTCAGCTCGAGGAAGAGCTGATCGAGACAGAAGAGTTTCTCTCTCCCGATCAGCAGTGTCCCGTGCAGTACACACCCCCGCCCCCTAGTAAAACACTCCCCTCACACAGATAACCCTTCCCTGAAAAATAAAGTTAACCCCTTCCTCCCCATTGCCATTAGTACAGTGTCAGTGTTTTTCTTTTTGCACTGATCACTGTATTAGTGTTTTTGGGGATGTCAGTGAACCCCAAGTCAGTACTCCCCAATGTCAGAATGTCCGCCGCAGTCCCGCCATAAGTCACTGATTGCCGCCATAATTCACTTATCGCTGCCATTATTAGTATAAAAAAAAAACTAAAAATCCCAGTATCTTTCCCGCCATTTGTAAACGCTATAACTTTCACGTAAACCAACTAATTTACACGTATTGTGTTTTTTTTTAGAAAAGACGTCGCAGAATGCATTTTGGCAGAAATTTATGACTAAATTTGATTTTTGCATTTTTTTTTTTCACTGGACATGTTTTATAGCAAAAAGTCCAAAATATTGTTTTTTTTTTCCCTCAAAATTGTCAGCCTTTTTTTTATAGCGCAAAAAATAAAAACCGCACAGGCAATCAAATACCACCAAAAGAAAGCTCAATTTGTGGGGAAAAAAGGATGTAAATTTCATTTATGTACCGTATTGCATGACCGCGCAATTGTCCGTTAAACTAGCGCAGTGCTGTATAGCAGAAAAATGGCGTAAGTTGCAGTATTTATACCATAGTTTGTAGACGCTATAACTTCCACACAAAGCAATCAATATACACTTATTGGGATTTTTTTTACCAAAAACATGTAGCAGAATACATTTTGGCCTAAATTTATAACCAACTTTGAGTTTACTATATATTTTTTATAGCTGAAAGTAAAAAATATTGTTTTTCTTCAAAATTTTTGGCCTTTTTTTGTTTATAGCGTGAAAAATAAAAAGCGCACAGATGATCAAATACCACCGAAAGAAAGCTCTATTTGTGTGAAAAAAAGGACGTAAATTTCGTTTGGGTGCAGCATTGCATGACCGCGCAATTATCAGTTGAATTAGTGCAGCGCCGAGTAGCAAAAAGAGGCCTGGTCATTAAGGGGGGTAAATCCTCTGGAGCTCAAGTGGTTAAATATGGAGGCTCAGCATGACATGTAGGCAGGGGCGGACTGACCATTTGGAAACTCGGGCACTGTCCGAGGGCCCGGGGTCAGTAGGGGGCCCCATGAGATGCCCCTGGTACCTTTTTCATAGGCTTTTTTGAGTTTGGGCAAGGACAGAGGGGCCCCATGATCCCCTATTGCCCGGGAGCCCCATGAGTTGTCAGTCCGCCCCTGCATGTAGGTGTTACCTAGGGTGGTCTGCATCCAATTTCGGTCTACCTAGGAACGCCCAAATCCTCCAGACTTGACATATGGCCATCAGGGCATTCTAATATTTACATAACGCCAGCCAAATGCTTGCATCATGGCTGAAGGCTTTCGAAAGGAGTACTGAGACAGGGTGCTGATTTCATTAGCAGGTTGATGAGGACGGAGGCGAGGGTCACTTGTATAATTGTATGATCACTGTCTACATGGAAGATAATATTGTCATATACTTTCCATTCCTTCATTCCCATCTTTTCCTTTTACCTTGTGTTAATGCATTTAAGTTTTGTAGTTCCCTATTCTGGACCAGCTCCTCATTTTGCTTTGTTTGACACTGTGCCAGATTGTATAACAAATAAATTCCATGGAATTACAAAAGGTTGGAAACAGACGGGAGGCAGCAGCATACAGCTCCGTGTTCCCAGAGGCCTGTTCATTGTTTCTGCAGAGGGCTGAGAAGCAACAAAATGTTTCTTTAACCCGAACACCATACAATGCAGTCTTTCAGTAAGAGCTGGGCTGAGAGGCATCTGTAGGTAGTCTTCTAACACTTTCTTTTTACACCATTTTATGATGCATGGTGTACTTGTACTTTTGGGGTTTTATGAAACACACTTATGTCCTATTTATTGGACCTATACACCTGAAGTTAATGCAGTGATTGTTAACTTATGAGCTAAATGGGGCCTCAAATGCAGCCCCAGACATCACTAAAGGTGATATAATGTTCAGTATCTGTAATACTTGAGAGGACTGTCAGAAACTGCAGACCTAATAGAGGAAATGAGGGTCAGGGAGTGTGGACAGGATCAGGGGCGGACTGACAACTCATGGGGCCCCCGGGCAATAGGGGATCATGGGGCCCCTGTGTCCTTGCCCAAACTCAAAAAAGCCTATGAAAAAGGTACCAGGGGCATCTCATGGGGCCCCCTACTGACACTGGGCCCTCGGGCAGTGCCCGAGTTTCCAAATGGTCAGTCTACCCCTGGACAGGATACATTTTTGGATGCGGATATGCTACAGAAGACAATACAAAGTTAGGAACGTGTTACATGAAGGTAGTGGAGATCAATGCTATTACCCTAATCCAGGGGTCAGCAACCAGTAGATCATGAACAGGTATCTAGTATATCGTGGTCTGGGCTTGCTAACCCACCATCCCATGCAGGCAGGGACGGACTGACCATTTGGGAACTCGGGCACTGTCCGAGGGCCCGGGGTCAGTAGGGGGCCCCATGAGATGCTCCTTGGTACCTTTCATAGGCTTTTTTGGGTGTGGTTTGAGTGTGGGCGAGGACACAGGGGCTCCATGATCCTCTATTGACCGGGGGCCCCATGAGTTGTCAGTCTGCCCCTGCATGTAGGGGTGTATTTACCATAAGGCAAACAAGACATTTGCCTAGGGTGGCATTTTTCAGGGGGGGCAGCAGCATTTTTCAGGGGTGCAGAGCTGTCCCCCAAAAGAAGGAAAGGAAGAAGGTACACACACAACACAGGGACCAGGTGGGATCTTAGAGAGGCTGCAGGCTGCTTGATAGTGTATGCAGAGCCTGACTGTTGTTCCCAGGGATGTCCAGAGCTGTGAAGGCGAGTGTCTTACAGTATCTCTTGTCGGGGTGGGGGTTGCAAGTGTATGGGGGGTGGTGGTAGTGGAAGGCTCTCTCGCGTGGGGGTGGGGGCTGGGGTGTTCGTCAATGGGGGGAGCCAATTTTTGTATTGCCTAGGGCAGCACAAAACCTAAATACACCACTGATCCCATGGCATCAGAGTACAATGTAGAGGGACTGTAATGTTGGAGCTGTAGTAGGGAGCAAAAGCTGCATAAGTCAATGCCTCCTCTGTAGTGTTGGCTCCTGTCCCATGTGGAGTGATAACAACTGCACTCCACCTCTTATCCCAGCTAGAGGTCTCCAGAGTGGTGCCAGCCAGGAGCATATTTACCACAAGGCAAACAAGGCATTTGCCTAGGGCAGCATTTTTTAGGGGGGCAGCACTGCTCCCTGGAAGAAGGGACATATGCAGCATGGGGATCTGAGAGAGGCTGCGGGCTGCTTGATGGTGTATGCAGAGCCCTACTGTCATTCCCGGGGATGTCCAGAGCTGTAAAGGTGAGTGTCTCTCTGTTGGGGAAGGGGGTGTTAGTGAAAGGCTCTCTTGGGTGTGGGGGGGGGGGTGATGGGGAAGGGGTGTTGTTAGTCACTGTGAGGCTCTGTCCGTGGGAGGGGGGGAAGGGGGTCTGGTGTTGGTCGGTGTCAGGCTCTCTACGCTGGGGAGGAGGGACGTCCAATTTTTGTGTTGCCTGGGGCAGCACAAAACCTAAATACACCACTGGTGCCAAGAAGAGACGTTCAGGTCAGTGTGAAGCAATACACTGAGCATAATAGTATAAGGCTGCTTTCATGCTGATGTGCTGCGGTTTGCCCACACCGTAGGTGCAGTGCAGTGCACCTCCAGCTTTCCTGCGGGTTCACTGTGCTTAGCATAGACTTCTATTACATCCGGCGGGTTTTGGTGCTCTTTCTGAAGGTGCACCAAAACTCCTGAATGCAAGCGATCCAAGTGTGTTTGACAGGTGGTGAGGAGGCAATTTGTTGTCTCCTCACCACCTGATTTAAACGCATGATTGCTGTGAAACGCGTACAAATGCGAGATGGTAGTACAGCAATTAGAGGCTTAAATCGGGTGTGAGGAGGCGACACTGTGCCTGGTGATCTAGTCCGATGTTGTTCAGGTAGATCTCCACCTCTTTAACCTCCCTGGCGGTATGATTATTTCAGATTTTTGGTGCTGAAAGCGGTACCATTTTTTGCATGGAAATATGTAGTTTTTTATTGTAGGCTGTAATTTTTAGGAATAACTCACTGAAATCTGTCTGAACAAGAGTCTAGTAAACATCCCGGGTATGATAAAACTTGAAACACGAAATCATAAATTATAATTGAATTAA